GTCATACTGAATCGTTGCGTTGGGGCATTTGACAGTTCACTCTGCATATATCGGTTGGGCAATGTATGCCACTCTCTCTAAGGGCGGTCCTCTCGACTTCTCGTGGAGAGATAGTTTTCCTTTCTTTCTTTCCTCATGAATATTGTTTAGGGTAATATTCACCATTCATAATTTGGTTGTTCTCCAAACCTCCTTTTTTTGTGTAGCCACAAGCTACAACTGATTTCTGGCTAGACCGCCCATGTGGACAACGATCAAAAGTGTCGAGCGCGCTCACGAAGTGCTCTCTTGCAACAAGTTAAAAGATGCACTTAGTCATTTCACAAACAAAATATGGAAACTTCACTTGGAATCAGAGGAGAACCTTCTCTTCGAATTTAATTTGCATATCAAAAACTCAGAAATGGGAGGAAAGAATACTTAAACTGCAGGTGTAATCAGGCTAAAAAAGAACTCTCAGCGAGAGCGACAATTAACAAAAGAGTCTGCGTCAGTGACGCTATGATGTCTAAAATTGTGTTCTAAACTTTCTCAGGAATTTGGTCAGAATACCACAGAGATATCAATTTGTATATTTAGGCTTTTTTATGCGCTTGCATTTTCACAGAGTTTAACTGATAACTTATTTTTTCATTTGATGCTGCTTATAATTACCAAAACCGGTACAAGAAGATTCCCTAAGGATAGAGAGTCAAAGGTGGAAATAACTGCCTGAGGAGAAAACTAACCAAATTAACTGTTTCAGTACACATTAATTAATCTCACAGCGTGGTGAAACATCCTTCGTATATCACGGCCACATGTGATTGGCTAACACGTTTTTAGGGAGTGTAGCCTTAAATTGGTGGTACATCTCAGTCAACAAACTGCTGTTAAGCTTCTCGGTTTGCTCAACAGCTCCAAAACATCGAAAGGATTTCTGTTCAGCTTGTTTTTTGCGGACATGGGAGTTTTTCTCCTCTTGTTCTTTATCTCCGTGGTTCTCCCCCTCGGACAAATTCAGTCCTGCCCAGATGGTATGTTTTTAAGCCTGCATTTTTTGATAAGAAACCTTTATTATTCTGCTCTTAA